CAATTAACTGAGTCTAAACAGTCAAAAAATGAAGGCACTAAATGAATTTACACACTTAATGCATTTTACAATTGTTGAAGAGTTGACTTTCTCAACTGTTTTCTTGGACAGAAGGAATTTCAGCTCACGGATTTCCCAGTTCAGTTGTCAGTTAGGGAAATACTGGACAAAGGTTCAGGTAACACTTGTATTACAGCCTATAAAGTATATGTGCATAATGCTGTTTTCAAGTATAATTGTTTTTCAAACAGACAAAATACTATCCCAATTATGGTAGCGTAACATTTTAGTCTGACTAGGAATCTTAAGAGATGTGACTTTTACTTCAATTAGATATAATTCTAAATAATATAGATTGCCTTTGTTTGAAATGCATTTTAAACGAAGTTCTAAATACACTTAAGTTTCTCACTAATTACATTATCCGTTTTGTATTATTTTACACTACATTACATTACATTGCATTACATTACATTGCATTGCATTACATTACATTATTTTCAACTACCTTAGTCATGGGAAAATTGTAAAAAGTTGCTGTATGGTATGGTCTCCCACGTGTTTTGAACTGATCTAAGACACTGCTCTGCTAAAAGGGTTGCCTTACTGCTTTCTTGTACTCTTGCTAGTGTTCATGATAATGCTGGTGCAAGAAGAGAGAGGAAACACGGAAACGCACAGTCAGTGCAGGGGAAAGCAGTCCCTCTGAGGCAGCAAAGAGGAATTACATCTGTTTAAACAGACCGTGGAACAGCATCCTTAGGCTCTGGCTCTCCTCTGTAGGGCGTGTGCAGCGCTGGACAGTAAAAGAGACTTTCATTCAGCCAAAATACTCTTAGTCTAGGGAACGACACAACTCTGAAAAAATACTCTCTGGAGAAATTTTAAGTATGGTATCACTAATTGTCACCCACCTTGTGCCTGAATGTTTTCTTTTCAGCCCGTGCTCAATCAGCATGTTTGTGGGATGGCAGTCTAACTCGGGTGTGCTCTGACGTGTGGTATCTCACGTGCTCTCAGGGCTCTGTTGACAGTCTCCTGGTGTTCACAACGGATGAGACTGGCCTATGGTATAGTTTTAGTGCCATCTCCAGCATACGGTACAGTTATAACTAGGTCAATGGAGACCTTGCTGCCTTCTAGTTCCTTTTGGCTGTTTCAGCTGTTTGAGCCACCACACCAATCCACAAAGACATTAGTTTAAAAGAAAGCATGCACCACCATCACAGTGCAAAGAGACGAGGTGCTGTTGTTCACAACCTGATAAAGACCAGGACGCATTGTAGCTAAATCAGCAAAGAAATACTGGCCAAAACCTCTCTGTATGTACTGAAGCTTACTTCAATGTCAGTAGCACAGATTTTTGAGAGCAGAATCATTATTAAGACAAGTGCATTATATGTGTATTTTGGTTTTTTCATGCATTTTCACTCAGGCCATAAATTCATAGTATCAACATCATAATGTAAGAAAACAGTTTAGTGCATGGATTTAAAGATTTGTTTCTGGATACACAAAGCTGTGGCAAGCCTGCATAGAGAACAGTTGCATGCACAACTCCAGTGGCTAAATGGGGCTTGCTTGGCATGTGTAAGTACAATTCTGTTCCTGAAAATGCAAACAATAATTTACTCTTACTTCACCTTGGAAGGATAGGTGAAGATTGTGTTGGGTACCTTTTAAGAACTGAAGCCAGCTGGCAAACTGTTGCAGTTTCAGGCAAAGCCAGTGTTACCTGGGTTTTGGTTGTCTTCCAATAAATTGACCACAGAACTAGCCACCAGGTACCCTTTTCATGCCCTTTTCTATCAATGCTTTGTGGTGGACACTTTCTCTCTTTTCCAGCTGGGCTGTTGCATTGAATTGGTTCACCCACCAAACTTTTAATTGAGGTACAGTTTGGAATAGTACCTAATGAATCCATGACAGCAGGATGCATTCAGTCAGAATGTGTAGTAAGCAAGGAGGGAGTGGAAAAGCATTTGGGCTCAGTACTCGAGTATGGCAACATCCAAGAGACATTTTTGACCCAGCTTTTTATTTGCCAAATATTTCACAGCTTGTTTTTTTTTAATTTGAATGCTTCATGTTGAAAAATGGAGAACATAAAGGAAGCAAAAGCCAAAAGGTTTTATGATCACATTTTTACAAATACAGATCTTCGTATTTTAATTCCAAATAGCCTGTAATTTCAAAAATCCATTATACTAAAACCCTTTTAATTCTCAGTTGAAATGAAAAGCTTATAGGGCAGAGGTTAAATAAACTATTTTGTTTATCTCATGACTGATATATTTTAGTTGGTTTGGCTCTTTAGAGGGGAAGAGAAAAACAAACCCTCAGATATTTGCACAGCTTTACTGAAAATAAAGTAGCAACAAGACCAAAAAAGTCCTGTTAGTCCACATTAGTACTGCCAGATCAGCCTCTGTAGTTGGGAAAAAGTACTTTCTAAATTAAAAAAAAAAGACTGAAAGACTACAAAAGTTCTTCTAACCCATCCCCTTGTTTTAAGGGAGAGTTAGAATTTTAGGTTATTCCTGAAAAATATTTGTCTAATCTTCTTAAAGCTTCTTGTGAAGGAGACTGACAACCTCCCCAATCCTTAATTAACCTCAAAGAGAGAAAGTTTCTTCAAGTTTTTGGCTGATTTTTTTTTTGCTGCAATGCAAGCCCATTAGTTCTTATCTTACCCACTGTAGAGAGAGTGAACAAACTGTTCCCTGCTTCTTCGTGATAGCCTTGTAAAACCTGTTATTATGCCCACTCTCAATTTTCTCTAATTTAGCCTGATCAGTTCCAGTTCTCTCAGTCTTTCTTCATAGGTCATGTTTTCTAGATCTCTGATCTCTTTCCTCTTTCAGGGCTTTTTCAGGCAGTTCATTTTTTTCTTTGAAATCTGATGCCCAAAAATGGATGCAGTGTTCCAGCTAGAGCTTTGCCCCTGCCAGGCAGAGTTGAAGGATTACTTCCTGCGCCTTGCAGGCTGCTCTCCCATACATGTCGCAGAATGGCGATTGCTTTTTTTTGCAGTAGCACAACTGTGACTCTCGCTTAGCTTGTCTTGCTATATCTCCCAGATTGTCATTTGGTGTTCCCCATCCTGAACAGCTGATTATTTCTGCCTGAGCGTAGTCCCTTCTGCTTTTCTGTACAGCATTTCAAACTTCTTTTCTAAGCAGCGCTCCAATTTCTGAAAATTATTTTAAGTTCTTGCAATGCCTTCCCGTTGCACATTTGCAGACTTAGTTAATGTGGTTTCTGTTCTGTCATCTGAGTTCTTAATGAAAACATGGCATATTGTAATGGACCTCCAGCCAGCAGATCTTTTCAGTTGTTCAAAGGCTCATTAATAACTACTTTCTGGTTACGGTCATTCAAACAGTTTTCACTCGCTTTATAATACTTTGATCTAAACCTTGTTTCTTAAATTTGCTTACGAAATTGTTATGTGAAATGGTGTCAAAAACCTTGCTGAAATCAAAATATATGACAACCAGTTGTTTTTTGCTGTCATGAATACTTTCACCGTCCTTACAAGCAAAGTAGACTGACTTGTGATTTGTTCTTGACAAATTCCTGTTGACTATTACTCATCTGCTTCTCTCTCAGTGTTTTTAAATTCTTCATTTGTTCCATTTTTTTCAGTGCATTGAATTTGAACTGACTATTCTATAGTAAGACATACATCTACTAGCTGTCTGACTTTGAGAACTTCTCCGTGACAATGAGTAATAGTTCTGAGGTCACTTCATTCCCTTCTTGGCTGTCCTAGGATGAAGTTCATAATACATACTTGATTTGAAAACTTAAAATTTGTGGAAATGTTCTCTAGTTTGTTTCCCTATTTTAGGCTGAGATTTTACTTCTTTGCAACTGGATTAGCCTCATACTCTCAGATGACTCTTCTAATAAAAGTGTGCAAAAATGTATTAAACACTTCAGCTTTCCTAGTCTTTTGTCAGTACCATTACTTTTCTGCTAAGTTGTGGACTAGCTCTTTCCATAGCCACAATAGAGTAGCTGTACTGCATACTCCCAATACTGAAGAAGTACATCAGGCTCTTTCAGCTCTACTCTTTCCAGCAGCCTCCATCACTAGTAACGTTGCAAACCTACTTCCCATTCCTCTGACAGGTTCCTTAAGTGGCCAGCTCAACTGTCTTCTTTAGCATCCAGGACTGTTGACAGCAGAAGAGTAGAGACATCATGACCTTTAAAACCTGGAAAATGTTACAGTCTGGCTGCCCTGTAGAGAACATGCTTTGTGAAGAGCAGTTATGGTCATAGCTCTAGCTACCTGCGGTGGTGCAGTGGCCGCTAAGGGCTGAAAAGGGAAGGGGTATTTGGCTTAGTCGAGTTCTTGAGCTGCCTTTGTATCAAATTCAGCCTCAAATCACAGCTTTTGCAGTCATAGTGGCAGTGCTGGCAATGTTGCATCAGGTGAATGGGAAAAGAAAAGGAGAACATGTAGTAGTTCAAAGTAAATAGAGGAAGTTTTATTTTAAAGATGGGTAACTTGAGGCACAGAGAAACAAAGTATTATTTGCAGAATCTGATAGTAGGTTTTGTAATACCATCCATGACTGAAGCATGTTACTCTCACACCAGAATCCACTCCTCAGCTGTTTAAATAAGTCTCTTGGGAATGGGGGTGAGGAGGGGATAAGATATATGGGAAAGGAAATGAGAATGTTATCTATCTCCACTTTACTGTGTAATACTCATTTAAGAATGGCTAGAGCTTTCTCAATAATGAATGTATCTCAGTATTTCATGTCAGTGCAAAATGCTGTCTGAAGAACAGTTATGGTAAATGAGAACTGAGCAACTGCTACTAGAAAATTATTATAAACCTTAGGAAAGTGCTAATTTCAAAAACAAAACACAGATTTCATTTTGTAGTGTGACTTTCAATTAGGAAAAAAATATTTCATTTTAAAGTTCTCTTGAAAAAGTAACTAGAATAACTCTTATATCTTTTTTTTAATCCCTTGCAGCTCCCAGACAGCTGTATAATGGATTACTACGAAAAATACAAGCACAGAATGAATGAGCTTGAAGCATTTAATATGGTAAAAGTTATAGGATTAATACTATTACCTTTTATATGTGTGCTAGTCTAGAACAAAGCCCTGTTAAGTTTTATGCAGAGGTGGACTGTCTTACGCTGTGGTATGTAATCGCAAAAACAAAGCAGCTCCCCCTTCCAAACTTCGGAGCATATCCTATTCCAAAACTATATTAGGTGTCAGTAAAATAATAAAGCGAACACATGGAAGATTCTTTTTCAAGAGGGACTATTACCCTGGAAAATGAAATGTCATTCTCCTTTTAAACCTAGACTGGTCTCCATGCAGTTATTTCATAAAAATTCTTTTTATTAAAATTCATTATTTCCCTCTTTAAAGTTGTTCTGCTTCATATAATATCATTTTCTTATTGGACAATGTCTCAAAACCAACTAAATAACATAGCTTCCTGGCTTTATGGCATTTCATGTATTTTTGATCTTCAATATAATCTGTTTTGAAGATGTCCATCCCACAGGGAAAATTGGCAAGGTGACATTTCTACAACAGAACCACTAGAAAATGACTGACCTTCCTGGAATTGTTCTGTGGAAGTGTAACCATTCGGAAGTGTATTAGCTGTCTTTCCAAAAATCGTTATAGTATCTAACCTTTCTTTTAGTTGAAGGTTGTTCTGGCTCCCTGCATAGAAGTTTTGATACTTCTGGATCGTCTTTGTTACCTCAAGGAGCAGGTATTTTTGCATTATATTTTATGATACCTAAAGGCTACATCAGTGAAATGAGACTATTTCAGCCAATTTATTGCTGTGCAGACCAAAAGTCTCTGTTGCAGAATTATTATTCTCATCATATTTGCAAAAGTATAAGCATTCATTCAATTTAGTATAAACATATGCCCAGCAGATGTTTTTATTTTCAGCAAAGCAGCAACAGTAAAGTTTATGTTCTTTTAATTGTATGGTAATTACTAGTCAATAGACAGTAAAAAATAAATTAATTAAATATGCAACAAATCTCATTTTATACAACATATTGAGATATTTAATAATTAAAAAGAATATTGGAAATGCTAAACAAACATTGTGCTGTACATGCTAGAGCTTCCAATGAATATGTTTTAGAACATATAATTCAAGAAATTTTGAATTAGGTCCAAAATGTTTATGATTTCCTTTTATTGTTTCTTAATTAAGATCAATGATGAGAGAGGGTGCACTTTTTCCAACTGTATGGGTCAACTGAGGTACATTTGACTAACATACAGCCTGGACATATTTTACAAGTATAGACCTGGGATATAATAAGGAAATGCTCCTACATTGACTCCATAATGATTTATATTACAGTGTTTCTTCTAACGCTAATTTTGAGCTTGGCCTGATTAACTCAGAAGCAGCAATCATACTTTCTCTGCACTAGTAAACGTTTTTCAGACAAATAATAATTTGCTAGGAGGAAATGGTAGCGTCTTCCAGCTTCTGCTCTGGGCCATGGTCAAAATAAAATTTTAAAATAAAGTTTCAACCCATTCATGTGAATAGCTCTGTTTTTCCACCATAAACCTTTCATTTTAACAGCTCCATTTTATCATAAGTAAAAATTCACTTTATTCTCTGCCACAGTGCACTTGGAACAACTGAGTTGTAGTAAATGTATGCTTTTGTTCTAACTGGTATTTTTACAGAGAGGCAATTTGAAATATTTAAATAAAAATGTATTTTCCCAAATGCCAACCAGTTATAAATCACATAGAGATCTGTATGATTTCCAAGACAGAAGATCAGACTTGCTGCATTTAGCACTGATTTACCTTTTCTAAATGTAATATATGCATTGATTTGATCCTGTACTTGTTGATTCACAAAATATGTTTAGAAAGAAAAAATAGAAATGATAAAAGCCATATGCAACATGAAGACCAGATCCAGCTGGCCTTATTCATTTGAAAAGTCAGTTAATTAGCTTCAGTAGTAGAATGTGCTGCATAAAATGAGTAGGACTTGATCCTTAATTTCTTTGCTCTAGTTCAACCGAAAAAAAGCTTTATTGACGAAGTGGGTGGTAAGCTGTCATTTGATAGTGCCAGAAATAATTTAATGTCTTTAAAATACATCCTGTTTTGGGTATCCTTTTTTCTCAACAAACTTTCCGTGATTCTCTTGTTGGGTAAGTGTTCCTTCTGCTTTGCATTAAGGATAATTTTTAATTTTTTTTTTGCAATTTCCTATTTCAAAATGTGGACCTATTACCGTATCTAAGCTTTTAAGTCAAACACATTTTTATGTACTTCAATCATATATCATTTTACAGGACAACATTGCCTGGTCTGGACTTGTGAAGTTATTTGATCCCGTGAAATCCCCCAGATGCTATGCAGTTATTGCTCTGAAGAAACAGTCATGTTTTTAAGTGGAAGCAAACTGCAGATAGGTTGGAAGCTCTGAACTGATACTGCTGTTTCCTCACTTTTATTCTGTTATTTTAATTGATTCCTCAAGTACACTGACTGTTTGCTTTTTAGCTGCAAAAGTGCAATGCCTCTTTGAATCATGAGAAATAAAGATCTCCTTTATAAATACCATTGCTTCCTTATGTCAGTTATTAAACAATGTTGAACATCTGGCTTTATTATAAAAGTTATGACCCATATTATGTGATTATTATTTTAAACTAATTTTTATGTTTCTTTTTTTTAAGGCATTATACTATGTATCAATACCCTTTATTTTGATATTTTTAATCACAAGATCATACCTTCTCGATTTTTACCAGATTGCATTAGCAATCTCAGACTAGCCTCGCCTTTTTTTTTCCTGGATTCAGATGGTGCATAGTATAAACAGAAAAATAACCTGCACTGTAAACAAGAGGTAAACTAAATAGGATCTTTGTACTTCCCTGTTCTCCAGGTCATCAGGACCAGCTCATTTCTAGAGCAACCTAGAAGAGCCTAGATAGTAACTACCTGCAAAGAGCAGTTTTGTATTAACCCTTTCTTCCTTCAGGCATGTTCCTGGCATGCACTTGTTCGCCTGTCACTCTGAAAGAAAAAAATGTGGGAGATCTCTCCAGTGGGAGATTTCCTAGTGCTTAAGAATCAGCTGCCCTGCTGGAGTTCACTCTGTAATCCTTGGGTTATATCAGAAAGCTATTATCTGGCCCAAATGTGTTGGGTATAAATACTTTGGTACCCAAGTGAATTGAAACTTGCTAGGCAGTTTCTCATTGGCTGTACTGCATTCATGAGTGGGAAATTTATTTGTTGATGCATTTATCTCAGTGGGTTGCCTAATTAAACTTGCAGATTTTCCATCAATTAAAAAAGAGAAAAGTTTCTATTCTAAGTCCTAGCGCTTTTATTAGAATTTTCCAGCATATATAAAACATAATTAACTACCAGCGCACAGAAAAAAGGACAAAAATAAATATTAAAATACAGCATTAAAGAAAAAAAGGGGAGAATGCAATTTTGGTGGGCAGAAGATGAGAATAACAGAAAATATTTTTATGTTAACTGTATAGTGACGGTAATAGTCATGGGAATCAGACTGAGATTCAGATGTGAGTAGGAACAAATCTTACTCTGTTTCAGTCTGCAAAATATAATGAGAGCTTGAGAACATGGCCATTCAAGAAAAGAGAAGTAAGGTATTTTTCTAACAAGTCACATCTTGCTTGACGTGTTCAGTTGGAAGAAATACTTTTTTTTGGTGGTGTAAGTTCTATTTTAGGACTCACAATCCTTATTAGCTCCATGCATCCAGTATGAGCTTCTGTTTATCCCAGTACGTTCAATCCTTAGAGCTGCTGAACACCTGCAATACCCAAGGAAATTAACGGAAGTTGTAAGTTCTCACAGCATCTTTGGAGTGGAGCTAAGAAAAGAAAATGAGGCCTTCCATATATGCCACTTTTTATTATATAGGGAGTACTGAGGAAACTAACAAGCTGGTAGATTCTTTTCCCAGGAGAGGAATCAAAAGAAATAAAATCCTTTCCTAACCTCTAAGCATCTGGAAGGAAAAAACCCCAATAATATCTGATATAAAGAGGCAATCTAAAGTATATGATGTTAAAAAGAAAAAAGATGAAGAAAAATGTTAGAAAAATAGGTTTTATATATTATGTTCTGCTAAGACATGATGACTAATTATTACTGAAGTGTTAGAGTGTTGTCATCCCAATCTTATGTGCTGTTGGAAAAATTTACTTGGGGATGAAATTGCCTTTTTTGTGTTATAAATTGATTCTTCTCCTTTTTCAGATCAAAACTAAAAACCAGACATATATATGATGTCCAAACAAAGAAAGAACAGTTTCTCACTGAAAGCAAGTGCTTAAAAGTACCCTGTTATGGCCCAAAAATATTCATTTCAGCAGGCCCCACCTGGTTCAATTTGAACACAGTCGAAATTGCATACGGTATACAGACTATTGCTAATTTTGTGTGGTATTGTAATGTGTGTAATGCTATCTAAATTCAAAGTTAAATTCTTATTCCTAGCTTAAGAGGACATTTGCAACAGTTTAGAATAAAAAGGACATCTCTAGGATTAGCCCAAGTGCTTTTTCACTGAATAAATTTGCATGCCCCCCCAGCAACTTCTCAGGCTCTTTCAGTACTTTTCACGCACTTTGTAGTCTATGCAGGCAAAGACAGAGGCAATGTGCTTCCTAGAATAATAACTATCAAGAGGTTTATATGACGAGTTTGCATTCAGCAAAGTCAGTTGCTGTCTGCTCTCAAAGCTGTTTCGAAGCTTTGGATGCCTGAATACCTATGAGCTGTTGTTTACATAATGGAAAAATCCCTGACAGTAATCAAGATGAATAAAATGATTTTTCCTCATGGTTATTGCCAAAAGTTCTTCCATAATGTAAACCGTATCCTAAATATGATTAAGTCTTTTGATAGAAAAGAATCTCCATTTTCTTTCAGTGTGACAGAGAGCTATCTATCTTGATATGCTCCTTAAGGAATAGTGGATATGCCTGCTTTCCCTCAGGTGTTTGCCTGATTCTGTTTGTGGCACACCTATGCATTCTGTAGCATTTTCTTAGGGCTGGAACCTGTTCTTGGATGGAGGAACAAGAATATATGCAGGGTATATGTGCAACCTTAATATCCAAGAGTATGTTGTAGCTCTAAGATCTCCAGGCTTGCATTTGTGACAATAAACTTTAATTCTGCAGTTCTGATTCATGCCTTAGAACATCACACCACAAAAAAAAATTTGCACTGTTTTAGTTTCTGGGATTTTAGTTTCAAGTTTTTTTCTGATTAAATATTAAGTATTTTTTATTACAAATTATCTTCTTCATTGAAATTATTTGTTAATTTACTGTTAAAACAACAACTATCTGCTTAGAGTTAAAATGCTTTTGCTATGTCATGGTGGAGTTAAAATCTTGAGACTCAAAATCCATATGTCCTATGATGCCTTAAAATTTGCACAGGGGAAGCATGCTAAATGTATTCGGCTTGCTGGCAGCTATATGTCTTTTTGATGATTGGAGTATTCTTTCCTATCAGTACTTATTGGTTCAGATTTACTTTTTTCCTAAAAACCATCCTAAGTGTGTCATTATATTGCCAGAGATCACTGATACTAATGGCAAGTAGTAAAATAGGACCAGCACCAAGAAAGTCTTCTCTGTGAAATAGCCAACTTAGTATGGTGCTTCAGACTTCCTTTTCTCTGGGAAGTAGCTGAATACCCAATCTTTGTTAGCATCTTTAAATCTTTTATCCCATGCATCTTATCATTTTTACTGATACATGTCCTCCTTCTTGCTGATATATATCCTAGTGCTCTGAAAGGAGAGGAATCCATGCTAGGCTATGAGCCATGAAGAATTTTTAGTGTCCGTAATCAAATCACAACTGAAGTATAGTTGCCCAGACATTTAAATTGGTCACCCAACCCTTAGAACTGTGACTTTGGCTTCCTTAGTTTCTGAGATCCATTGAAATTTTGCAGTTTCCAAGATTTCTATATTTCCTGCCAGGTGGGAGCATGGCCTGATTCTCTGGGATCCAGCTGCGGTTCCATCACCATGTTCATCTGAAATAACCAACTCAGTTTGGTGGCTCTATATTCTTTATCTCCAAGCAACTGCTGAGTAAGTTGGTTTCTGTGGATTTGCTTGTCCCTGGTTGTTATCTTTGTCAATGTTATATTTCAGAGTAGTCTTAAGAAAAGAAGTAAAATCCTTCTGAGGTTTAGAAAGCCTCAGTGAAGTTGCACCGCAGTTATACTTCTTGTTGCTTTCTCCCTTAAAGCCTTGAAATTAATTCCTGATGATCAGACAGATTAATAAGCACCAGACAGCCTGAGAGGCATAGGTTATTAAAAAATACTATGTACAGTATCTTCTCTGCAGGAGTCTTTTTTGATTCCAGAGCTCTGAGGCATTTTCTTCACAGAAATTCCAGTGCACATTATCATTAAACTCAAACATCCAAGGAAACCCACCAAGGTAATGAAGATTTACCTCCAACTGTTAGAACATGCTGTTGTACACCAATCTTCCCAGTATACACCTGCATCCTCCTCAAGGCTGTCTGCAATGTCTGTATCAAACCGAAAAGGAATAGACCCTTGTCTCACCATCCCAGTAATGCTGTTCATGAAATCTGCAAGAGAATGACACTCTACTGTCTGCTTTGTGTTAAAAGGCAACAGAACTCTTAGAATGGGTATGTCCGACATCCAAAGACTTCTCCAGATATCATTTTTGAAATCCGTTTAACAGACTTCTTCAGTCAGTTCAGTCTGTTAGTTGCTTCAATCAATACTGACTATCATTAATAGGTCTACAAAATTTTGTGCTGTGGTTTATGTTCCACAGACAGACCTTTCTCATAATACAGTTTTGTTACTCATCAAAACAGTAAATTACTTCAACTGATTGCTATGAGTGGGAGCTACTTCTAGATTTATTTGTTTTTTGATTTTACAGTAATTTAAAGTTGTTTTATCTAAGGGGAATCGTACTGTATACCATCATTTCCTCAGAACTGTGGATTCGAAGGAAATCAGAAAATGGTTTCTAGATTACCAATGAAATTTAGAAGAAATTGAAATTGTACTGCATAAGTGTGTTCTTGGGAAAGCACAGTATATGTACAGGTAGCATCATGACGCACACTGGTGGCCGGAATTTGTTAAACTCACAAATACAAAACACATAAGCAAGATTATATGGACAAAATATCTCAAAGATTTGCAGTTACTGTAAAGTATATTACTATTCTTTATAAACTGTAAGAAGAAATGTAATTATCTTATGCAATGGAAATACAGGAAAGCATGAACTTTCAGCAAGTAAACAGGAGATTCAGATTTTAAACTTGCCTAACAATCTAGGAACTAGCTGCAAAAGTGAAAAAAATTTTTAGGGCAACAATCCAATACACTGTTCACCCCAGGAAGTCACCCTATTTTCTACACAACATTTATTTTGTACCTGTTGTATAATCCATAGTTTTGGTCTATGCTTACTTTTTTTTTTTTTTAATAGTTTATCATTAAATTATCTCTTTTCAGTTTTTTGCAATTACAGTCACAGTGGCTATGTATAGTAAGCAAGGACTTTCCATTTGCTCTTGTATGTAACACATGCTAACAAGATACGATTATTTAATATCTTTGTTTCAAATTAACAAAGACTGTCCAAAAGCAAAATATCACTTCTAAATTTAAGTGTAGTTTATCTGTGGGATAAAAAATTCTGCATGTGAAACCTGTGCAAACTTTTAACTTTTCATTACAAAATTCTCGGGTTTAGGTAAGTCTTTTTCTCTTTGCATCTGGACCAATATGAACTTATTCATGTAGATAAAGATGTTGTCAGGGCAGCTGGTA